AATCAGTTGCATGATAATCGATTTAGCAGGCAAAATTGGCATCCCTGCCAAAAAAAGGAGCTACTGGAGTAAATATTTAGCTTGTGCTGCTAAGTAGTACTGGCGGTGCAGCTAGTACATTGCTTCAGTCGAGACGTCAGTTTGATGGACAACTGAAAGTTATCACTTCAGCTAAAAAAATAAAAAAATAGGTAGGGCTATGTTGACGAAGCGTCTTTACTATTTTTATGCCTGCGTATCAGCTATCAGTTCCTAGTTAAGGCAGACGGGCAGACTTCTTAAAGACCTCAAGCCCCAGGCGGTGCACAGTGCATCATTTTTTTTTGTGAAATGTTACCTGCATTATTATTTGTACCCCGCTTGTATCTGTCAGATTTTACTTGTAAAAGTGTAAATCACCGCATAAAGGCCCCTATAGCGCAGCAGTAAATATAGGACAGCGGCGCATTCGAGTACCGAAGATGGTGTTGCTGGGGTTCATGGCGCTTTGGTTCATGGCCGCGTCTCCGATGAGCCGCTCCGTGTCCGTGAAGGCGACGTACGAGGGCGTCGTCCTGTTGCCCTGGTCGTTGGCCACGATCTCCACCTGCACCCCCCGAGCACAAGGGACCTCATTGGCAGGTCGTACGGACGCGCGGGGCGGCGGACGGTGCGGGCGGGTATATGGCGTGCGGCGTGAATAGCCGAATGCTCGTCACACCTCTCCCCCCACCCCCTTTATGCCGGCCTCGCCCTGACCTTGCCGTGCTGGAAGACGCCGACGCAGGAGTAGGTGGTGCCGAGGTCAATGCCCACCGCCGGGGCTGGGCCGCCGCCCGCCCCGCCCCCGCAGCCGCCGCGGCCGCCCGGCCCACCCCCGCTGGCCGCAGCGCCGCCGCCACGGGCCGTCCCCCGCGCCGCGCTGCTGCGGGCCACCGCGCCGCCGCGCGCCGCCCCGCGGCCGCCACTCTGCTTCACGTCCATGACGAGCTCCACTTGGCGGAGGCTTGGATGCCGCTCGGGACGCTGGCGGCGGACATCCGGTCCCTGCGGACAGAGAACAGTCGTAGAGACGGAGCTGCCTCCGGGAGCGCGCCCTCGCCAAGCTGCGTCCAGATACGTGGGTGTCTTGGGCGCATGCATCCGCTAGTACGAGATTTGGACCAATCACAGCCACAACGGCGCACTATTTTCTAGTACACTAGATGCAGACACCCAAGGCACCCAAGACACCCACGTATCTGGACGCAGCTCCTGATTCCGCAGAGCGCTCAAGGCAGGTAGGAGGGTGGCGTGGGAGCCCTCATCCCCACAAGGGAGAGAGAGGCGAAGCAGTCGCGGTCTCTGTCTCACTTCGTGGAAAGGGTCCCCATTAGACGCTCACGGCGTGGCTCGCGCCCACCGGCACTCTGCGTCTCGCCCACCGAGCGAGCGGGCGAAACAGAAACAGCAGACCACTCTTCCCTCTGTCTGCACGTGGACGGCTCCAGTCTGACGTCAGGCGCCCTCCGTCGCGCCACCCCGCCCACCACCCCTTTCCCCATATTATTTCACATCCCTTTTCTGTTTCCCGCCCCCCGCCCAGGCCGGCGGCTATGCGCGTGGCTGGCCCTGGCGTTAGCCTGGCCTGGCGCGGAAAAGAATCTCGCGGGGCGCCGCGAATTTGATGCCGAGTGTCGGTGTCGGGTCGTCATCATAGTGCTTAAAATAGAAGCCCGCGGCGGGGCGACTGGCGAGTGCGCGCGACGAGTGCGCCGCTGGGGGCGCGGGTGTGATTGCCGTGCGGGGGCCCGGGCCGCGGTACCGGCGGTGAGTGACGGTATCGACCCGGCCCCGGCCGGGGGCCCCGGGGGCACGCTACCCCCGCCGCGCCGCCTCCCCGCGCCAAAGAGAAACGCTCGTCGTGTTTCTGGGAGAGGCACACACAAGTCCGCACCGCCGCACCCTCGGTCCGGAGAGGGGAGTAGGGGAGAGCCCACCACTTGGGCTTCATTAAGAGCTGCGATTTGTGTACCGACCTGTTGCCGCCTCGCCATAACTAGCGGAACTCTAAAAAAGCACTTTAAAAAGTATGATGACCCTCCACGCAAACTTACCTGTCAGGGGGCGAACAGGTGGCTGTGCGGCACAGGTGGAACGCGCTCTTCAGTCCTCCCGGGCTTGTGGTCTTCTCCCATTTCTTTTTCATCCGTTTTACAATTTTGCTATTTTTTTAGAGTTTAAAAATGTTTTTTGTTTTTTTGTTTTTTGTTTTATTGGGGTTCAGGGCATGGGTGGGAGGGGCATGGCTGGCAGGGCCCTAGTGGGCCTACAGTGCCTGGCAACCCCCACCCACTCCTCTCCCCTGTTACGCCGCGCAGCCCCGATTGTTGGATCCACCGACCGGGCCACTTTGAGCCATGTGTTACCACTGCACCCCCGCCCCCGCCGCCACAGCCCAGCAAAAGTGACAAAATCAGTCGGGTAGACGGGTAAAAACTATAGGAATCAGGTTTATTAAAACTGTAATAATAACAACTACGGAAAACTTATTGTAGGGAAAGTTGTAAGTTGTGTCATGGCGAGCTCATGCGTGCTCGGGCTGGTGACCTCGGGGACAGAGGGGGGACCGGGACCGGGCGATGCCCGTCCCCTGGGGCCCGGCCGCCGGCCCCGGCAGCGTCACACCGCGTCCACGTTGATCTCCGTGGAGGTCTCCGACCCGGGCACCGGGATCCCGTTCCTTGGGCGAGGCCGCCGGAGAACGGCCTTGGACGTGAGCAGCTGGCCCCAGCGCTCGAACAGCTCCTCGGACAGCGCCACGGCGTCGCCTGGAGTCGCGCGCAAAACAGAAGGAATAACAGAAAGCGAGTCACGCGAAGCGCCTGCGACTTCGAGCCATTACCGTGGGCAACCCGAGAACAACATGCACAGCACAGCGAGCAAGGAAACCCCAAACCAGTCTCACCCGAGGGCTCGGTCGGGAAAGCGGTCCTGTCCAGGGTGAAGGGTTCCTCGACATTGACGAAGATGTCGTGCGAGACTGCGGTCTGATTGAAGGGCCGGCCTTCCTGCAGAGCTAGTTCCAGGGACTGCAGGTAGCGCTTCCAACGCGGGCCGTAGTACCGGCTCACCAGTCCTGCGGGGGATAATGGAACGAAGTTAAGCAATGGTTGTTTTCCGTTCGCACGCTACGACTCTCCAGGCGGCGCAGGCACAGGGCTCACCCGCCCACTGCTTGGCGGCGTAGTCCCTGATCTCCCCCCTGGGCCCCCACAGAGTCAGCTGGTTGCGCGCGTTCCACTCGTACACCGCCTCCTCCTGCAAAAACCGTGCATATTCCAGGGAAATGTTTAAACAAGTACAGAGTAGCCAGCATACGTTTATGTTCATTGTACTATATACCAGCTCTGTGGTGGCGCGCTCTCGTGCAGAGCGCAGCCAGGGCCCCAACATGAAGTGCGTGTCGGTGGACAGGATGCGCTCCAGGTCAGAGAACAACTGCATCACCTGCGCCGCCGACTCCCTGCGGATAGCATAGATAATCAGATACTGGACAGCGGGACAGGAGTTCACGGTTTGAAGGTTCAAGTTTGCGGTCCAGGGACGCAGGACTCCTTACCGTAGCGGGTCGCGCTGCTGCCGGTTGAAGGCCCTGACGGCCTGCTTGTAGAGCGCGGCCATGGCGAGCTGCAGCCCCTGACGCGTCAGGTCCACCAGGTCCAGGCGGTAGTTGGCGGAGGATCGGAGCTCGTCGCTGGCCGAGAGCAGATTGCGCCACGCGTCCCGGACATCCTCCACGCGGTACCACACCTGCAGGTGCGGGGAGTGTCAGCCGGTGCGGCGCCGTGGAGGCCATGGCGCTGACCATCAAACATGCAAAGCGACCTCACTAAGAGTCACATGCGCCAGGAGAGCTGTTTCCTACCTACTGAAAACACCGTTTTTTCCTCACCTCACAATCGCCTGGCGGGTGGCTGGTAAGAGCGAGCAGGAAATGAAGCAGGCCATGAGTCCCCCCGCCGCCCTCCCCGCCCTCACCCTAGACCCTCTCCCCCTTCCCTTTCCCTAATGCTATGGTCACGTCGACCGGAATGTCACGCTCGCGCCCTTGCACCGGGTCGCGCGGCGCCCCGCCTTGCAGGTCGGCTGGTCGGCTGCAGGTGATCCCCGTGCCGCTAGTGATCGATACGAGCCGCACGGGACCAGAGCCCGGCGACCAGCACCCGCCCACGAAGCCAGGAGGGGTAAGTTAGTATCATACTGTAAGTACAACACAGGGCTCGCCGCCCACCCCCTCCGCTCCACACGAAAACAAAAATAACGATTTGCCGCACATGGCAATATGACGGACATGCCTGACCTTGCTACGCCCAGTACATGGGCCCCGCCCGTCTTATAGCGGCCAACGGACCCCCATATTACCCC